GGGGGCCGGCAGTATGGCACAGGTGGCTTCGGCGAGAGGTCCGCCCTGCTGTGTGCAGGCGGCGCGGCCGGGGCGAGCACGCACTCGGCGTATTGTTGCCAGGAGAGGGCAGCCAGCGCCGAAGAGAGGGAGTCCACCGCACTCGATACCGAGGGGATGCCCATGCGCTGGGCGGCCAGGCGCAGGGAGTGTGCACACGACAAGAAGACATAGGGCAGGAGTCTGGGAAGTGTGTGTGTGTGTGTGTGTGTGTGTGTGTGTGTGTGTGTGTGCATGCACGAAACATGTGAGCAAATGCATGCGCAAGCGCCCGGAGCAGGGGAATGGCGATCATCATGCGAGGAGGGCATGGGCCTTGCCCCCCCCCGGGCAAACAACGGAAAGGCAGCACGGAGAGGCAGGGCACGCACTCGGACAGAAGATCAATCTCGCTGATTCCCTCGAGATAGGCGAAGACCACGCCGGCATGGTGGTCCACATCGAAGAGGGGCTCCTGCTCGGCCACCGGCACCGGCCGGGCCTCGGACCACAGCCGGCACCAGAAGTTGTTCGGGCCGCGGAAGCGCCGGGACAGGTAGCCCAGGGCATTGGGCACCGGGCCGGGCCCGGGCCCGGGCTCGGGCTCGGGATGGTGCTCGGCGTGTGATGGCCGGGTCCCGGGGGACCGGGCGGGTTGGCGAGGAGGGGGGGCAGGAGGAGAAAGAGGAGGAGAGGCGGACGCATGGGGAGGAGCGGGAGAGGCGACAGTCGGCGAGGAGGCCGAGGACGGCGTCGGCGAAGGCCCGGTGCCCGTCGCCTCGGCCGGCGTCAGGCCGACTCCCTCCGGGGTGGCGGCCCAGTCGGCCGGCGAGTGCCACCGGATGAAGTCCTCCAGCCGGCAGCCCGGATTGGCGGCCTTGAATGCCTGCATGTCGGACAGCAGCCAGCGCGACTGCATCTGGGCACGCTGGGCCGAGGCGTCGGACGAGGACCCCAGCTGCTCGAAGTCCATCTGCTGACTGGCCAGCTGGTCCTCGGTCAGAGCCTCCACCTCCTGGGTGAAGGGCACGAAGACCGGCCGGTCCGGGTGCAGGAGCAGGCGCAGCGAGGGGTGGGCCCGGTGGCGGCCAAGCGGCCGCGCACCGACCTCGGCCTCGGCCTCGGCCTCGGAGGAAAACACCGCCGTCGGCCGGATGGCCGGGGCCACGATCAAAGCCGCCACCGGGGACGCCGGCGCCGGCCAGGGGAGCCCCGGCTGCGGGGGGAGCCCGGCCCCGGCCGAATGTGGCCGACGCCCGGCCCCGGCCGCCGGGGGATCCGCCTGCTTGTTGGCCATTTCGGCGGAGGTGGGCCGCCAGGAGGCCCGGTCGGCCGGGGGGCCGCCACCCGGCGCCGGCGACGCCTGGCCGAGCCCCGGACCGGGGGACATGGTCTTGGCCCCCCTGGCGGCAAGGGGAGGACCGACCGTGCCGCCAGGGGGCAGGCTCTCGGCAAAGCAGTCATCCCAGTCTCGGGCGTCGTACGAGTCGAGGACCGCATCATCAGCCGGCAGGATGGCCAGGGTGCCCTCGCCATGGGGACCCGGGCTCAGGGGGGCGGACATCGGCGGCGCCGGTGACATCGGCCGCGGCATCGGCGGCGACTGCCCCGCGGCCGGCGACGATGGGCCACCCACCGGCCCGGTCTCCTGGTGATACTGCGCCAGCAGGTGCTGGCGGTCATGGAAGCGCTTCATGCAGTGGTTCAGCATTTGCAGCTTCTGGTACAGGAGCGGTCGCATGATGTTGGGATTGCCGGTCTCCAGCCGGGGGATGGGGACTCTGCCGGAGGTCCGCAGGGGCGCGAGGGAAGGAGAGGGGGAGCGCGGGGGAGGATGTCCGGCATCAGAATGGTGCGAGCAGTGTGGTTGATGGGACCGGCGCCCTCGTTTCGCATGTGTGTGTGTGTGT